CTCGACTTTCCCCTGTCCTTTCATTGCTTGTTTGGGTTTTCGCGGAGCACAACGATAGCGCGAGAAAGGACCGCAACGCGCGGCCACCGCTGCTCGGGGCGCTCTGGGGGCGGCTTCCCGGCCCCGCTCCACTCCCGGCCCGCAGCCCCGCCGCTCCGTGCCCAGCGCACGGCCGTCGGAGCCCAGGAGGGCAGGAGCGCAGCGTGCGGGGCTGTGCCGCTCTCCCGACGGCGTTAGAGCCGGGCCTCCTCATTTCATCGAAAATCTCATAAAGGTCAAATGCGTAATCGCGCCTAACGGAATGTGCGTGTTCTGTGTGAAAAGGCTCCTTAAAGAGGGAGAGAAGTGAATGAAACGAAGCTTGGTGACACGGCCGTCTGCCCGCGGAGGTGCCGCGCTTATGCGGCTCTGCCCCGGCGCCCGGAGCCGCCCGCACTGCCGGAGGGACGGCGCCGAGAGCGGGCGGTGTGCGGGCCGTGCCTGAGCTCTACCCGGGCCGCCCACAGGCTGTGTGCGGGCTGCGTGCGGGCACGGGCCGGCCCCCCGAAGCCGAGCGGGCAGAGGCGGCGTTGAGCCGTAAGGTGCCACGTGCCGGGGTGTCCCCGGAGGAGCCCCACAGCCGCCGCGTCCCCCAGCAGCATCCCGCTGACTCCGAGCTGCGCTCCGTGCGCCGGGGCCGCGGCCAACGCGAGGCTCCATCGAAAAGCGGATTCCGCTCCGGGCGACTCGGCGTTCATTCGGAACGGATTGCCAGCAGCCCAGCGAGCCCCGCAGCTGCTGGTTTGGCTCGGAGAGCCCCGTGTGGTTTATGAACTTGTAGAGGGAAAAAGGAAAAAGATGTCCATCCAAGTAAACTCTAAGTGAAAACTTATTGATTACCTCCGCCTCCCTGTCTCTGATCTGATTAACCGTTTGCCATCACACTTTCCGAGTCACTTCTGTGCTGGTTTCCCTCTGCCTGAGCTCTGCGAGACTCTTCCAGAAGGGCGCTGTGATGTCGGGACCAACAGACTGTAAACAACCACAAGAAACACAGCGAATGTTTTCAATCCAGCTAGGGGACTAAAACAAACTGCCCGCATCAGGCCGGCCCGTTTCGACGAACGCCTCCCAGGCCGCTGCCGAGCGCACTGTGGAGCTAGCTGGGCTTGGTGGATGCGGGCGGGTGCCGCGCCCCGCCGGGTAGAATCCTCCCGGAACCCCCGACCTGTGCCGCTAGGGTGGGGCTCCGAGGGTGGAGGAGGCACGGAGGGACCCAACGGGCGCGCCCTGCTTCAATCCCAGCGGCCGAGGACTCCCGACTGCACTTATCCGGGCCCCTGCCATCGCCCGTTGTACCGTCGGGTTTTTCCGTCGTGCCGACTGCCCGAGCCCACCTGCCCGAGGCTCGCTGCCCGCGGCCTCTCCTGCGGACGGGCGGGTGGGCGGCCCCGGACTCTGCAGTGAGGCCGGCAAGAGGACCCCCGGTGCTGCTCCCCCCCCCCCACTCCCGTAGGGCCGCCCCGAGGTTGCATCGGCACCGGGCGGGGCCGGACCCCGGGGCGGGTGGGAGCGGGGATCCCGCGGCAGCCCCGAGTGGCAGCGGGGGGCGGCGGTGGGGAGAGGGGCAGCAGAGCCGAGCCGGGCCACAGCCGTCACAGGCGGAGCGGCGATTTTTTAAATAACAAACGTATTTTTTATTTCTGAAACAAAAATATCGTTTTCGGCTTAACAATAGCCGGATCTCTCTGAATGAAGCCTCTGCATATTTTCCTGTTTTAATTGGTTGTATAATAAACAGTCCTGACCCCACACTCTCTTTTCAATGAGTTCAGGGTGAAACGCGGACCATGGGACTGGAAATGACTTTTTCACCACTTAAAACACGGACAAGAATACCAGGAATCAGGCGGCATCGATCGGCCGGGCGGGAGGGGCCTCAAGGTGAGAGAGGCTGCGTGACCCTCCTCGCTCGACCCGCAGCCTCCGGCACCCCGGCCCCGGACATCACAGCCGAGCCGAGTTGAGCCGCGTTGCACCGAGCCGCGCCGAGCCGGCCGGGAGTTCTCCCGACTCAAGGCTACGCACCCTACGAGCACCGCCAAGGCCCGACGGCTGCGCGAAGGGCGGCAGAAGACAAACCGGCGTGCGCAGAAGAGCGCTCCGGGCCCGGCACTGCTGTGGGGCAGCCGAGGGGCGGTGGGCGCCCGCCCAACCCCAGGCCACCGAGCCCTCCCTCCCCTGGGGCCCGTCGCAGCGCTCTGCCCCTCCGGCGGCGGCGGCTCGGAGAGGCTGCTTCCACGCCCGCTCCGTGCACGGAGAGCGCAGTCGTCGCTCTTCTGCTTTCATCTCTCGCCAGCGTTGCATAAAGCCCATAAGACGGGGCCGCTCGGGCGGCACCTCGGGCGAGACCGCGGCCCCGAGTCCCCCCGCCCCAGGCTCCCCCCAGTCCGGCCAGACTGGGGATGCGCGGTGCCCTTTGGCCAACGTTAGATAACGAGCACGGGTCTGGCACGGTGCGCGAAGCCGTGAGACTGCCGCTCCGTGTGGGGTCAGCGGGGCTGGGGACCGCGCGGCCCGGGGCACATCAGAGCCCAACCCGGGCAGATCCCCGGCACAAAACCCGATCCGACCCACTTGGGGCCATTCACGTGGCCCGGATCCGGACCTCGCGGGGCAGCGGGGCTGTCGGGCGGCCCAAGCTGGGGGAGTAAGCACTTGCAAGTAGGGTCAGTCCCCGCCGCCCCGGGCAGCAACGAAACGGGAGGGAAGCAGCGAACCCTGCCAGGATCACCGGGATATGCACCGGGCCACTCCCGGAGCGGCAGGACAAGCCTGGCTCCGCCGAGAGCTCCGCACCGGGCTTCCCGGGCGATGCGAGTCGAAGGCTGCAGCCGAGCCCCGAACACGGCGGCTGTTACTGAACCACACGAGTTTACATTCGGTGCTGCCTTGTTTATAAAATACAGAAAACAATCGCGAAAACATCCTACGGGCGCGACGGCGGCGCGGCTCCGCTGGGTGCCGGGCGCTCGGAGGGCACAGCTCGGCCCCACGCACGAGCAGCCGCTGCACCCCGCCGCCCGCAGTCGCGGAGCAGAGTCCGTTGGGCACGGGCAACCCGAGTGCCCCGAGGCACCTTATGTCCGCCGCCTGTCGTCCAGGAGGGCCTCGGGAAAGAGCCCCGCACCGCACGGCACCGAGAACCGCGAACCGTTCCGCTCCCCATGCTGGGTGCTTGTGCTGCCTGGGGCCGCTCCCCGCGAGTCACCGCCCGCAGACCCCGAGGGAAGCGCGGTGGCTCTGGGGCCCCGTGGCGGCGGGAGGGAGTCCCTTCCGAGCTCACGGCCTCGACGGATCTCGGAGGAAACGAGCGGGGACGGGCAACCCTGAACGAACGAGGAACGGTCCCGTCAGCGCCGTGCAGCGCCGATCCCGGGCACGAAGCGGAGCTGGGCCGATGTGCGGCGGCACCCCCGGCACCCTCGGCCCCGTTCCGTCCTTTCCCTTAGCGTGGCACCGGTGCTGGAGATAGAGCCGCTCCGCTCCCTCCCCGCCGTGCCCGGGCCGAGCCGGGCCCGCAGCCCCCGCGTCCCTCACCGCCGCCCCCGGCCGGAACAGAGCCGCGCGCCGCGCTCCCTCCCGGCGCCGTCCCGCGGTGCCCACACAGAGACGCACAGATCCCCGGCCCCGCTCCGCACGCCGCGCCCGTTTCCGTGCCGGAGCCACGAGACGCCTCGTTCCCCGGGCACGGAGGCTGCAGAGGGCCTGGGAGCCGGGGCCGGGCCCGGGGAGCGCCGTTACTCGGGCTTCGGCCCCGCAGCATCGGCACGGGGCCCGGACAGGCCGCCGGTTCCGTAGCGGCACGGCACGGGTCGGGAGGGCGCAGGGCTGCTCCGCGTCGCTCTGCTCCGCGGCTCCGAGCGACTCGGGAAGAAGCAAAAGCGGAGCCGGGGCACGGCGGGCAGAGCGCCGGGACAGGCCCAGGGCTAACCGCGGGGCCGCACGGAGCCGGGCAGCGGCGTCCCGCGGCGGAGCGACAAACGGCGGTCTCGGCGCTGCCGCTTCTCGGTCCCGGCGCGGAGAAGCGGAGAGAAACAAAAACAATATTAAGAGAAAGGCATTTATTGGAGACCTTACAAGGCTAGAAAGTACATTAACAGTGCTAGGCCACTCTAGAGAAGTTGGTCCCAAAACGGTACTACGCCACAGCATCTATCAGCTTACAGAAACGCTTACACAATCGCTAAGAACTGGCCCCTGTGTTATACACGCTATTTCTTTCCACATTCATCTATGTAAAATCGAAGGATCAAAACGTTTTAAGAAAAAGGGCGAGCACTCAAAGCAGAACCTACCGAAATCCCTTTCGGGCCAGGTTTGGGGACAAAAATACGGAGCTAGTTTAAACTTTCAATATCAATTATACTATGAGCACGGAGAAATATTCAAATTTCATAGGAAACCGTCTTTTTTTTTTTTTATAACATCAAAATATATTTTTTTAGACCTACATAAAATTTCTTGTAAGACCTCAGAGGACATCGTCTCCTTTAAAAACCGTATCTCCCACGGCCGGAGCCTTCACGAACGGTCCCGGCCCCCGGATCCCACCGCGCAGTCCCACCCGGCGCCGCCCGGGGAAAGGCACCGCAGCAGCGCCGCGCTTTGCGGCCGAAGAGGAAGAGGAGCGGGAGGAAGAGGCCGAGCTCAGCCGGCGGCACCCGGGCCCGGCGAGAAGGCCGCGCTGCTCACAGGCCGAGCCCGAGCGCTTGAAGGCCGAGTCACAAAGGAGCAGAGTTCGGAGAGGCGGCGGCCCGCCGTCACCGCGTCCCCCGCGCCCCCAGAAATAAAGCGACAAAAAGCCGACCCCGAGGCCTCTCCGAAGACAGACACACACACACAGACGGACCGGTGGACAGACCGCGCCAGCCGGGAGCCGCCCGCCCGCCGCGGCGGGCACGGAGAGGGACGTCCGCAGCCGGAGCGGGCGTCGCGCGGCGGCGGCGGGGACCCGTTCCCTAGATGTCAATGCGGGAGTGCAGGGCGCCGTGTTTGCTGTCGTGCTCCCAGTAGGAACAGTGCATGACGGACAGCTCGGCGGGCTGGCGGGCGCAGGCGAACTGGAGGCCGGCTCCGTTCGCGGCCGGGGCGGCGGGAGGCGCGGGGCTGGCCGGGCCCAGCTGCTGCGGGTGGTGGGCGTGCGGGTGGTGCGGGTGGGCCACGCCGTTGTAGGAGTTCACCATGCCGGGTAGCGCCACGCTCTGCACCCGCGAGTAGGGGCCGTAGGAGGCAGGGCCCGAGAGTCCTTTCACGTTGACGGGGCTGACGCTGCCGCCGGACATCTGGCAGGAGGCGTAGGGCACGGGCGCGGGGGGCTGCGGCAGCGGCCACGAGTTGTTCATGAAGGTGGACTGCAGGTACTTGGGCGGGGAGAGGTAGCCGTAGCCGTCGGGGCCGAAGAGGCTCTTGCCGGGCTGGAAGTGAGTCGGGGGCGGCCGGAAGGGCCGCTTCATCCTCCGCCGCCGGCGGTAGTTGCCCTTCTCGAACATGTCCTCGCAGGCGGGGTCCAGCGTCCAGTAGTTGCCCTTGCGCTCCCCGCCGCCCTCGCGGGGCACCTTGATGAAGCACTCGTTGAGACTGAGGTTGTGGCGGATGCTGTTCTGCCAGCCCTTCTTGTTCTTCTCATAGAAGGGGAACTTGCTGATGATGTACTGGTAGATCCCGGACAGCGTGAGCCTCTTCTCGGCGCTCTCCCGTATGGCCATTGCGATCAGGGCCACGTAGGAGTAGGGGGGCTTCTGCGACGGGTCCGGCTTTTCGGGGCCCTTCTCGGCGCTCAGTTCCTCCTTGCCCCGCTCCGGCTCCTTGCTGCCGCCGCCGTCATGGGCCAGCATCGCCACCGCGTCCTCCTCGCCGTCCGCGTAGCCGCTCATCATGGTGTCCGCGGCCGCGCGCCGCGGTGCCGGCGCGGAGCTGTGCCGGTGCGGAGCGGTGCGGGTGCAGAGATCTGCTGCTGGCGGCCGTCCCGTCGGGAGCTCGCCGGAGCCGGGGCAGGGCCGGGACGGAGCTCGCTCGGCGCCTCTCGCGGCGCCGCGGGTCCCGTGCAGCGCGGCGGCGGCGGCGGCGTCCCTGCCCCAGCGGGCTCCGCTCCCCTCTGCCGCGGCGGCCGGGCTCTTTTCTGATTTGTATGGGCCCGGCCGAGTTCCGCTTTCGTCAGGAGCCCGCTCCCCTATCGCCGCCGAGCCGCTGGGCACGGCCGGGTTCAGCCCGCAGTCACGGCGCTCGGCCCCGCGCACACGCGGCCCGACGTGGCCCCGCGGAGCGGCGCGGCATGGAACCGCCCCGGTGCGGCAGCGCCACCGGGGGGGTGGGGAGGCGGGGGGCTCCAACGAGCCGCCCCCGCCGCCGCCGCCGTCGCCGCCGCCCTCCCGCCCTCCCCGGGCCCGCGGCTCGGAGCTGTTCCGCGGACGGCAGCCGCCGCGCTCGGCCCTGCCCGGTGGCTGCACGCGGCCGCGTTTATAAGTCTTGGCCCCGGGCCGCGCTCGGGGAGCAAAGGGAGGTTGGGAGCGCTTCTGCCGCTCGGTTCTGCCGTCCGTGTGGCACGGAGCGGGGCTGTCGAGTCGCTCTTTCTCCCTCCTGCAACGGCTGCCGGGCCGCCAGAAGCCCTGGGGCAGGGACGGAACAGGGCAGGGCAGGGTCCGTGGTGCCCCTGCGCTCCTCCCCGCAGGGCTCCCACTTATTTCGCACGCATCCCCGAGGGTCGCATCTTTTCCTTCCCCTGTTCTGCCTTCGGGTGAAGCCTCAGCGAGCGGCGGTATAGAAGCCTGAACTGAAAAGGTGCCGTGTCACAACGAATCGTTAACGGTGTCGTTCTACCTGCAGTCACAGAAACAGGCGAATAAGACCGAGGATGCTTCAAACGATTTTTGAAGCAGCCCTCGCCCCGGAGCAGCCGAGCTCCGGCCCACCTGAGAGGCCCTCGGGGCGCGGCGGAGTCTGGCCGCGGACACAACCCGAAGCAGGGGACCGGGACCGCAGCCGAGCACAGCTGTGCGCTTCGTCTCACGGCAAGGGCTGTCGAGCAGCGCGGCTCTCTGAGTTCCACGCGCAGCCCCGTGGCTGCTGTTCGCACCCGGCCCGCAGCCCCACTTTCACCTTTCTGGGACGCGAATCGCTGCCAAGCGCTACTCCCCGCCCCGCGCACTTTGCGTGCCATAACAGTTTTCTTAACCAAGCCCAAACCCGAGCGCGAAGGGACGGCAGCTCTCTGTCGGTGCTCCCGGCGGAGCTCGGCCGCTCCCGGTGAGCGTGCCCGGGGAGACGCGCAGGGGTCCTGCTTCCCTCTCCGGGAGAGGAATTTGGAACGAACTGTAGGGGAGAAAATGAATCACCCTTCTGGAGCTGTTGTATTTATCGATTAAAATATAGTTCTGCTCGTTCACCTACAGCTGCACAGGCTGATCACTTATCTCGCGTCCGTCGAGAAACTCACGTTCCTAAAACACGATCTCCACACATGCGGTCACACCAACGACACACCTTGCTTTTCGGCGCACAGCCCTCGGCGCCCAGCAACACCCCCGGGCCCAGTCCTACCCCGGCCATCTCGCTCCCGCAGCCGCCCGCTCCCGCAGCCGGCCCCAGCTGTGTGTGCCGCCAGGCCGTGGACGCGGGGCTCCCCAGGGCCGGGCGAGCCTCTCGCTGCGGCCACCCATGCAGCTCCCGGCGCTCCCCTCGCAGGCATTTCCGCGGCGAGAGCCGGGGCAGGTGGAACAGCACTGCTGCGTGTGTCATCACCTCCTCCAAATGGCTCATTCCTCCCTTTTCACTCCAAAACCGAGCGCGCGGCTCCTCTCCAGGGCCCGCTAGCTCACAGAGGACATTTGACATCCAAGGGGTTCAGGAGTTAATCTTTTCTTTTCTTTTCTTTTCTTTTCTTTTCTTTTCTTTTCTTTTC